TGGGTACTTGACTTTATCGTGCGTTAAGCATTTGCAACAATTACACATCAACAGTCGTGAGAAAGTAGTTGATATCCAACATGAAGATCGTTATCGAGTTTGAAAGTATCCGATACTTTCAAAGTAGAAGCTCGCGCCCGATCTCGAGTTATCGTAGAATCGATTGCCCTCTTCCATTTCCGTCTGGCTATAACGCGTTGTTTTCACTTAACTATAATCGTAGCTTTTGACTTGTAATTTGACTTGTAATCTATACTTATGTTATAATGTTATATATTGTGATTGATCAAATGGAAATTAATAAGATAGTTTTATTATCTTGTTAATTACAAATATTAACAAGATTTTTAAGGTCTTTCTAATCACAAACATTATTAAAAAATGAAATAATTCCTTATCCAAAGTTTATCGCGTTTTTTATATTTTTTGCGAACTTATTGATACCGATATTATGGCTTATCCAATGATCTAAAATCTCGTATCACTTTCGTAGAAAAGGAAATATATGACATTTGAATAACGTCAAATCATTTATCATCATGATGTTGCTAAAGAGTTAAACAGAGAGTAGTAGTCGTAGATGGTCACAGAAGAATATCTTTCATCTTAGACAGTCGATCATAAAATGTATTTTGAGATGTAGCGACTCTTCTATTTAGTATTTAGGATAAGAATTATTATTTTACATATGTTTATATATGTACATAATTATATATATTTATATATATATTTACATAATAATCTTATAAATAATCTATTTATTATAAATCTATTCATTAATAATTTAAATAAAACAAAATGAGAATAATGTTAAAAGCAAATTTAATTTTGCCATGCGATTAAAATTAATGCAATTAATTTTTAAAAAACTTTATTTATAATCAATGAATTCCTATTAACAAAAAATTTCATTAAATATAATTTCATAAAATAAATAAAAGACATCACCATTTTTTATTAATAAATGACAAACTCATTATAATCGATGACATTTCAGTTTTAATTATAATTGTTTAATTATAATTTTTTATTATATTATTATTATCGTTGATATTCAAATTGTTGTCGGTTATTGGTGGTCTTAAATTTTATTGAGCATGTCCTCAGCTAACAATAAAATGGAATTCAAGCGCAGGATTACGCAATGTGTGGTTTCACGCAGTGCCACATCTATAAAAATGATTGACGCGAATTCATCAAGGCACACTCAGCAAAACTCGTTTTTCATTGACAAAGAGAATAAGAGACTTGACGGCGAGACATTTATAATTAACAAACATTTCACGACTTGAGCGATTGGGAAAGTAACCAGTGGATACACATCTTCTTGGCATACTATGCTCGACCACGAGGACGCGACCAACAGGTTTTTCGTAGCTAACCTATTCGAATGCATGCGTGACGCGAAACACTCGTTGCCTTCAATTGTGGGTACACCGGGTGTCTCGAAATTATTTATATCCCGCCAAGTAGCTAAAGGCTACGAAAAAGAAAGTTTTCTCTTTGAATTCTTCTTGTTATTGTTATAAATTCAGTCATAGTCTTTATCATTTTGACAGAAATCTAACACTGTCCAATTTATTACTAAAAGATAATAAATTAATTGCTTATTTGGAGTACTAAAAGCTCTGAACAACAATCCTTTTAATATTTGAAATAAGAAATTAATTATTGTCTTTCAATATTAAATCGATCAGTGTTAGATTTTTATAAGGACAGAGTCTTTATTAGAGTCTTTATTACTTCCAATAGTTTTCTCTTATAAAAAAAATATTAAATCATAAACACCTCTTCATAAAAAAAAAATCAAATATTTCTGTCTTTCAGAAGACAATCGCATTAAACTCTCAATTTTTTTCATTTTTATAAAGATATATCGTTTATGCGAAGATCTAGTTTTTCATCGATTACGCCCTGAAAAGAAACGTCTTTGGAATGTTCACATGTTTCTCACCGGCCTTCAACTATTCCTCATGTTTCATAATTAATACGAGTACGTCTAATGCCTTTTAATATTAGTTGCAACCATGAAACGTCATCGATACTCAATATCAACGTCAGCAGCGTTGATAGGAATTGTTTACTTTGCGCTTGAGATGTTCGAACTAGTGAGAAAATATAGATACTCTTAAATGGTAGAGCTATTTTTTAATTAAATTTTTTTCTTCCTTCTTGTAACTCCTCAAAAGTGCAAGCGCACTTTCCTTCCCCTCCTTCCATTGCACTAATAGATCAGATTATTATGTTTGCAGAATGACGTCAGTGCGTATGATAAGCAGTACATTTAGAATACGTATATACACATACATATATAGTTTGAGATAATATTGTTTTCATCGAGATAAATCCTTCTAAGATATTCTAGACCTAATAAAATATTCTTGTAAAGATATTTTCGTTTCCCAGCGCTATTTTTAGCTAAAGGAAGCAAACTCAGCCACGCGATTGTTATCGGTTTTTATACGGATGTTTGCTGTTTTATTTGCTTTGTTCATTTCATTATATTTTGTCAATAAAGAAATACTTCGGTTTTATATATATATATATATAT